AAAAAATCGAAATTTGAAAACGAATTTCTTGACTAAAAAATATATTAAAAAAAAATTCACTAACACATAGGATGGTCTTTTAAAAAAAAAATTTCACGATAATGTCCAAGAGTGTTATTTTTTGATTTAAAGCTTTCGTGACTGCAGTAATTCATATTCTTAGTTTTTTCGGTAAAGTCACGTTGAAGGGAAACAACAAAATAATAAAATATATATAAAACAATAAAAAAATTCTCACGACGTTTCGACCATAACTCAGACGACCGTTTGAGTTATGGTCGAAACGTCGTGGGAATTTTTTTTATTGTTTTATATATATTTTATTATTTTGTTGTTTCCCTTCAACGTGACTTTACCGAAAAAAACTAAGATTATAGTGTTATTGTTGTTTTACCTTTTTATTTTTTTTTCCCTTTTTCTTGTTTCATCGTATGTAGTGGTTAGAGATTAGGGATCAATTAAATACAACCATAACCACAATCATATCAACATAAATCTATGTTATAGCAATATATTTGGGGGGGGGGGGGGCGGGGGTGGCATTTTTTAGCGTATTTTGAATGGTTTAACACGTAGAAGTCTTTCGCGACCAATATTATTCATCATAAAGGTTTTTTTTTGGGTTAGATCGCATTTATTTATAAATGTGTCGTAACCCTCCACCACCCGACACGGCCAATCGGCAAAAATAAAGTGTCACGTTGACAAAAGGCAAAATGAGTTCACCACTTTAGCCCCATACCGGTGGTGTTGTTGAAGAGTGAATCCACAACATTCGCAGTTTGAGTAGCACTGTGACGTTTCGCTGGTAAATACATCCCCAGCATCATCATCATCGGGCAATTCGCCAGAATGGTAAAGCCCTCTCCGCTTGACTCCCGGTCTTAAATAGAGCAGCAGGGTGACGTCATCGTTTAACTCATTTCAATATTGGGGGGGGGGGGGGAGATGGGGGGGGGGGGGATGTGTGTGTATGTCCCCCCCCCCCCCCCGCCAAATATATTTATAATAATTACAGCCTTGCGTGGATGGGAAAAAAAGCGAACGCCTGCCAGCGGCATACTCGCTTTTACGGATTTCTCTCCCGAAGCGGGTCAATGGCCGTGCCAAGCAAAATCCCCGGGTCGGGGACGACGTTCACACCGCGTGCCAGGCTGGGTGCATGCCGAGGCCACGCGCCGAGGCCCGTGCAGCCACGGGTAGCCTCGACTAAGGCTGCCGGGCCAAAATGCTGCCGGCAAATTGCCCCGGCGGCGGCGGCGGTGGCGATATGAAGGCTACCGGCACTGTGGGCACACACAGGAGGGGATGGGTGGCCAGCAACCACCACCACCACCACCACGCCCGGCCGCCTTTGTCTCTCTCCACCAGCAGTGGCGATGTTTACACGCACGCCTGGTACACACACACACACACATGCCTGGTACACACACACACACACACGCCTGGTACACGCACACACACACACGCCTGGTACACACACACACGCCTGGTACACACACACACACACGCCTGGTACACACACACACACACGCCTGGTACACACACACACACACGCCTGGTACACACACACACACACACGCCTGGTACACACACACACACACACGCCTGGTACACACACACACACACACGCCTGGTACACACACACACGCCTGGTACACATACACACACACACGCCTGGTACACACACACACACACGCCTGGTACACACACACACACACGCCTGGTACACACACACACACGCCTGGTACACATACACACACACACGCCTGGTACACACACACACGCCTGGTACACACACACACACGCCTGGTACACACACACACACACGCCTGGTACACACACACACACGCCTGGTACACACACACACACACACGCCTGGTACACACACACACGCCTGGTACACACACACACGCCTGGTACACACACACACACACACGCCTGGTACACACACACACACACACGCCTGGTACACACACACACGCCTGGTACACACACACACACGCCTGGTACACACACACACACACGCCTGGTACACACACACACGCCTGGTACACACACACACACGCCTGGTACACATACACACACACACGCCTGGTACACACACACACACACACGCCTGGCACACACACACACGCCTGGTACACATACACACACACACGCCTGGTACACACACACACACACGCCTCGTACACACACACACGCCTGGTACACACACACACGCCTGGTACACACACACACACACGCCTGGTACACACACACACACGCGCCTGGTACACACACACACACACGCCTGGTACACACACACGCCCGGTACACATACACACACACACGCCTGGTACACACACACACACACGCCTGGTACACACACACACACACACGCCTGGTACACACACACACACGCCTGGTACACACACACACACACACGCCTGGTACACACACACACGCCTGGTACACACACACACACACGCCTGGTACACACACACACGCCTGGTACACACACACACACGCCTGGTACACATACACACACACATGCCTGGTACACACACACACACGCCTGGTACACACACACACACACGCCTGGTACACACACACACACGCCTGGTACACACACACACACACACGCCTGGTACACACACACACACACACGCCTGGTACACACACACACACACACGCCTGGTACACACACACACACACACGCCTGGTACACACACACACGCCTGGCACACACACACACGTGTACACACACACAAAGACAAAGGTGCCCTAGTGTAGCCTTGACAGATCGTCGGGGCAAGTGCTGTTAGTAGCCGAGGAGCAGCAGCAGCAGCAGCACGATATGAAGGCTACCGGCACTGTGGGCACACACAGAGGGGGGTGGACGGCCAGCAACCACCACCACCACCACGCCCGGCCGCCTTTGTCTCTCTCCCCGCCAGTGGCGATGTTTTACTGCACACCGCACACGCGTGCACACACGCACGTGCACGTGCAACACACAAAGACAAAGATCACCCGTGTAGCCTCGAACAAGACTGTCAGGGGGGCAAGTTCTGTTGTTAGTAGCGAGTAGCAGCGGCAGTAGCGCCCTATGCATGCCGGGGACGGGGAGGAGGGGGGGGGTGAGTGACGAGCTACCACTCCCGGCCGCCTTTGTCTCCCCAGTGGGCCACGTCTCGCGACACAACACCGTCAGCAGGTCACTATTTTGAGGCTGAGTCGACCTAGGGGATCACCGCCGGGGTGGCCCTAAGCACTGCACCACCTGCTTGCCCACCAGAACCACGTGACAGCGACAGGGGGTGACGTGGCTCTGTGATCATTGTGTGACGTACACAAAGTGTAACGTTGGGAGAGTGTGTGTGTGTAACGTTGTGTATGAGTGTCTGTGTGTGTATGTATGGTATATCTGTGTGTCCACATTGTGTATGTAAGTTAGCCATCGTGTATAACGCTATTGTGTATAGACGTTATGTATCACATTGTGTGTGTCATTATGTACCACACATTATATATTGTTGTGTCACATTGTGTTTGTGTATATCAGTTGTGTATAGCCAGCGTGTATAACGCTATTTATGCATAGACGTTATGTATACCATTATGTCATTATGTATCACACATATATCGTTGTGTCACATTGTGTATATCGGTTGTGTATAGCCATCGTGTATAACGTTATTGTGTATAGACGTTATGTATCACATTGTGTGTATCATTTATGTACCGCACATTATATATTGTTGTGTCACATTGTGTTTGTGTATATCAGTTGTGTATATCCAGCGTGTATAACGCTATTTATGTATAGACGTTATGTATAACATTTTGTCATTGTGTATCACACACTCTAGATCGTTGTGTGTCACATTGTGTATATCGGTTGTGTATAGCCATCGTGTATAACGCTATTGTGTATAGACGTTATGTATCACATTGCATCATTATGTACCACACATTATATATGTGTCACATTGTGTATATCAGTTGTGTATAGCCATCGTGTATAATGCTATTTATGTATAGACGGTATGTATCACATTGTGTATATAAGTTGTGTTGTGTACACCACTGTGTATACCGTTGTGTACGGCATTGTGTATAACAATGGATATACAGCATCACATAGTTTATATCACTGTGTACCACATTCTGTATATAGCGTTATGCATAGCATTGTGTATATAACGTTATGCGTAACATTGTGTATATATCGTTATATATAATGTATAAAACATTGCACAATATATCGTTGTGTATGTAACTATTGTGTATATATCACGTTGTGTATATAATAATTGCGTATAAGTATTGTGTATATAATAATAGTGTATATATGACGCTGTGTATATAAGTATTGTGTGTACATAATTGTGTATATATTAATAGTGTATATATAATAAATGTGTATATAATAGTGTATATAGTAATAATAAAGTATATATAGTAATAAAGTATGTAAATCACGTCACGTGGTGTGTATATATAATAGTGTGTATATAGTAATAATGTATATAATAGTGTATATAGTAATAATAAAGTATATATAGTAATAAAGTATGTAAATCACGTCACGTGGTGTGTATATATAATAGTGTATATAGTGATAATGTATATATAATAGTGTATATAGTAATAATAATGTATATAATAGTGAATATAGTAGTAATAATGTATATAATAGTGTATATAGTAATATTAATGTATATAATAGTGTATATAGTGATAATGTAGTTATAATAGTGTATATAGTAGTAATAATAATGTATATATAATAGTGTATATAGTAATAATAATGAATATATAATAGTGTATATAGTAATAATGTATATAATAATGTATATAGTAATAATTATGTATATATAATAGTGTATATAGTAATAATGTATATATAATAGTGTATATAGTAATAATAAAATGTATATAAATCACGTCACGTGGTGTCGTCAACAGGATAACTTCTTCACCCGACGTGGCTTCAGCGCTCCAAAGATTCTCACCCGGACCGGAAGTTCACAGATTCCACTTCCGGTGAAGGGGGCGGGGGCAATGGCGGGAGGGGCGGGGGCAATGGTGGGGGCGGGGCAATAGTGGGGGCGGGGCAATAGTGGGGGCGGGGTAATAGTGGGGGCGGGGCAATGTCCGAGGGCGGGGTAATGTCCGGGGGCGGGGCAATGTCCGGGGGCGGGGTTTGGTCGGGGGCTAGTGGGGGGCTGTCGGGGGGGGGGGTATGGGTGGGGGCTAGGGGGGGATGGGGATGTGGGGGGGGGTATCGACACCACGTGATGAAGGGGGGGATGTGGTGGGGGGTACAGACTCGGGCTTAACGATTATTAATCGATTTCAAATCGAAATCGCAATTTAAAACAACGCGATTAGCAAATCGCAAAGGCTGCGATTTTTTGCGATTGTTTTATTATTATTTTATTATTACAACTTTATTTATTTAACTAACTTAACAATTGTTCTATGTTTGATTGTTCTATTTCAATTTAAACATTTTAAATAAATACATGTTGGAAGCAATTAATTTATTTTAAGTTCTCATCCCTGCATTAGAATACATAGAGCAGTTCATAATTTGATGGTATCACGTGGTAATGTTCCATCACGTGTTTTAAATCGATTACAAAGTGAATATTGAACTGAAGCTTGACTTAAAAAATGTTTTAATCGCAAATCAAATCGCAATATCTGTCAGAAAAATCGCAATTTGATATTTTCACCAAATCGTTCAGTCCTCAAATTTTGTTTTAAAGCTTTCGTGACTGCAGTAATTCATATTCTTAGTTTTTTCGGTAAAGTCACGTTGAAGAGAAACAACAGAATAACAAAATATATATAAAACAATAAAAAATTCTCACGACGTTTCGACCATAACTCAAACGGTCATCATCAGGTGTTTTGTTATTCTGTTGTTTCTCTTCAACGTGACTTTACCGAAAAAACTAAGAATACGTTCAGTCCTCGTTTAGAGACCACGTGATGGGGGCTAGTGGGGGGATGTGGGGGGGGAGGTATCGACACCACGTGATGGGGGCTAGTGGGGGGGGGGGGGATGACAGCGACCACGTGACAGAGACCAAACCGGATATCCGTTTGGGCCGGCGCAGATGGCGGAAGTGACTCGCAGCTGTCAAAGTTTCAAAATCGCTCCTCCGTTATTTCATTTGATTCGATTATAAAACAATAACAGCAACAACAACAGCTATTACTGTTGTTATAACGACCTCCTCTGTCTTGCGTGCGTGTGGTTTTTGTTGTTGTTGTTTACACAGCGATTACTTACTCGGAGCTAACGGTAAGAAGAACCCCGTTGTGTGCGTGTGCGCGCGCAGTAAATCATCTCCACTGGGGAGACAAAGGCGGCCGGGCGTGGTGCTGCTGGTCACAACACCCCCTCCGTGTCCCCTCTGTGTGTACCACAGTTGCCGGTAGCCTTCGTAGGGTGCTGCTCGCTAGCAGCACTTGCCCCGACAGCCTGTTAGAGGCTACACGGGGGAGCTTTGTCTGTGTCTCATAGCTGCTACCCACTAACAGCACTTGCCCCTACTGTCTGTTAGAGGCTACATGGGGGAGCTTTGCTTGTGTGTGAGGTGCTCGCTAACAGCACTTGCCCTTACTGTCTGTTAGAGGCTACACGGGGTAGCTTTGTCTGTGTGTGAGCTGCTATCCACTAACAGCACTTGCCCCTACTGTCTGTTAGAGGCTACACGGGGGAGCTTTGTGTGTGAGCTGCTCGCTAACAGCACTTGCCCCTACTGTCTGTTAGAGGCTACATGGGGGAGCTTTGCCTGTGTGTGAGGTGCTCGCTAACAGCACTTGCCCTTACTGTCTGTTAGAGGCTACACGGGGGAGCTTTGTCTGTGTGTGAGCTGCTCGCTAACGGCACTTGCCCCTACTGTCTGTTAGAGGCTACACGGGGAAGCTTTGTGTCTCATAGCTGCTACCCACTAACAGCACTTGCCCCTACTGTCTGTGAGAGGCTACACGGGGGAGCTTTGTTTGTGTCTCATAGCTGCTACCCACTAACAGCACTTGCCCCTACTGTCTGTTAGAGGCTATACGGGGGAGCTTTGTCTGTGTGTGAGCTGTTCGCTAACAGCACTTGCCCCTACTCTCTGTTAGAGGCTACACGGGGGAGCCTTGTCTGTGTGTGGTGCTAGCTAACAGCACTTGCCCCTACTGTCTGTTAGAGTCTACACGGGGGAGCTTTGTCTGTGTCTCATAGCTGCTACCCACTAACAGCACTTGCCCCTACAGCCTATTAGAGGCTACACGGGGGAGCTTTTTATTATTTTGCACGCTTTCATTTAACTCACTCTGTGTTATTGTAGTATCCTCAAATCTTGTAACTCAATGTTAACCCTCTTCCCAATGTGCTATCGACTGCAAACTTGGTATACTGATGAACCACACTGATGACAATACGATATTCTACCATTAAACATAAAATAAATACTTTATTAAACAATCTTTTTTTTACACGTAAGATGTTTCGGCTTGGCCCTTAATTGTCCACGCTCAACTCACGTTGGCTGTAATTGCCCACGGTCCCCTTACGTTGTGGCAAGCTTCGGGGTAACCTTCCAGGAGTCTTCCATTACTAGTACGGTACATTTTATAAAAGCGTGTTCTTTAAAAAAAGTAAAAAAATATCATTTTCTGGAAGACTTTGCTGTTTTTCCCCCATCTGTGGTCTTCTCCGAACATAGATGGACTCGTCCAACATAGATGGACTCGTCCAACATAGATGGACTCGTCCAACATAGATGGACTCGTCCAACATAGATGGACTCGTCCAACATAGATGGACTCGTCCATCTGTGTTCTTTTCCGAACATAGATGGACTCGTCCATCTGTGTTCTTTTCCGAACATAGATTGACTCGTCCATCTGTGTTCTTTTACGAACATAGATGGACTCGTCCATCTGTGTTCTTTTCCGAACATAGATGGACTCGTCCATCTGTGTTCTTTTACGAACATAGATGGACTCGTCCATCTGTGTTCTTTTCCGAACATAGATGGACTCGTCCATCTGTGTTCTTTTCCGAACATAGATGGACTCGTCCATCTGTGTTCTTTTCCGAACATAGATGGACTCGTCCATCTGTGTTCTTTTCCGAACATAGATGGACTCGTCCATCTGTGTTCTTTTCCGAACATAGATGGACTCGTCCATCTGTGTTCTTCTCCGAACATAGATGGACTGGTCCATCTGTGTTCTTCTCCGAACATAGATGGACTCGTCCATCTGTGTTCTTCTCCGAACATAGATGGACTGGTCCATCTGTGTTCTTCTCCGAACATAGATGGACTCGTCCATCTGTGTTCTTTTCCGAACATAGATGGACTCCTCCATCTGTTCTTCTCCAAACATAGATGGACTCGTCCATCTGTGTTCTTTTCCGAACATAGATGGACTCGTCCAACATAGATGGACTCGTCCATCTGTGTTCTTTTCCGAACATAGATGGACTCGTCCATCTGTGTTATTTTCCGAACATAGATGGACTCGTCCATCTGTGTTCTTTTCCGAACATAGATGGACTCGTCCATCTGTGTTCTTTTCCGAACATAGATGGACTCGTCCACTCCAGCGCTGTCCTACCAGACAGTCTCGCTCCCTTCACCTGATGAAGGCCGCTTGTGTTGTGGCCGAAACGTCGTGAGAATATTATTGTGTTATTTTATTTTATCAATTTATTATTTTATTCTCATTCTACGTGACTTTACCGAAAGAACCAAAGAAGATAGATGGACTCGTCCATCTGTGTTCTTTTCCGAACATAGATGGACTCGTCCATCTGTCTTTTCCGAACATAGATGGACTCGTCCATCTGTGTGTTTCCGAACATAGATGGACTCGTCCATCTGTGTTCTTTTCCGAACATAGATGGACTCGTCCATCTGTGTTCTTTTCCGAACATAGATGGACTCGTCCATCTGTGTTCTTTTCCGAACATAGATGGACTCGTCCATCTGTGTTCTTTTCCGAACATAGATGGACTCGTCCATCTAAACAAACTGTCAAATCGCTGTCCGTGGTGCTAACGTTTTTAAAATAAATAAATAAATCTCCCGTTGGTTTTCACACCTGATGATGACTGCTTGTGTTGCAGTCGAAACGTCGTGAGAATTTTATAGTTTTTTATATTATTATTTTATTGTTTCCCTTCTACGTGGTGACTTTACCGAAAGAACCAAGAATATGTTTATTCTCGTTCATGTTTTTGTGTTTTTGTTGCGGTTGGCCAAGAGTCAAGAGCCGCGTGGTTATACCGAACTAGCTGTTACTACACGGCTTCGCCCGGGACTTGGATTCACCACGCCCGGCCGCCTTTGTTTCCCCATTGGCGATGTTCACACACCACAGCAGTTACTCGTTTGAGGCTGAGTCGACCTAGGGCAGGCCCACGACCGGTTGAAGTGATCGTCACCGGTGGTGGCCGTGAGCGGGAACCGAACTCGGGTCGCCGGGTTCGTAGCGCGGCGCAGCGCTAACCACTACACACACACAGACACACACACACAGATACACACACACAGACAGATACACACACAGACACACAGATACACACACACAGATACACACACACAGATACACACACAGACACACAGATACACACACAGACACACACTCACAGATACACACACACAGAGATACACACACACCCAGATACACACACACAGGTACACACACAGATACACACAGATACACACAGATACACACACACACGGATACACACAGATACACACAGATACACACACACAGATACACACGCACAAATACACACACACAGATACACACACACAGATACACACAGATACACACACACACGGATACACACAGATACACACACACAGATACACACACACAGATACACACACACACACACACAGATACACACACAGATACACACACCCACGTATACACAACAACAACAACAACCGCCATTCGCCACTAAGTGGCGGTGACGTCACCACGACTCTTGTGCCAGGCTAGGTGCACCCTGAGGCCACGTGAAGTGTCGAACGCCCGCTGGCAGGAGGTCACGGGGCAGACCCAGGTGCCACGGGTCGACTGACTGAGATGACTGGCTGATGCACCACCTGTGCCCCCTACTGTGCCAACCTGCTGTGCTTTAGCCACCCGGCGCTCCGCTCGCTGTTGTGAGCGTCGCTCCTCCGCCCTCCGTTGTTGTTGGAGGGCGACTGCCTCCAACTGCCCAGTAGCATCCTTCACGAGCCTCCTCCACAGAGGCCGATCTTGACACCGCTGGTACCAGTCATCGGCAAGTCCACTCAGCTCCACGTCCTCCTGTACCACATCACTCCATCTCTTCTCTAGCCCGTGCCGCGCCCGCTTAGCCCCCTCAATCCGGCCAAACAAAAGCTGTTTCGGCATGCGGTGGCTGGGCATGCGGGCTACATGACCCAGCCATCGCAGCCTTGCCTGCCGGAGGAGCTCACCGATGGGACCCTGCCCAGATCTTTCAAGGATTTGTGAGCTCCTCACACAATCCAGTCTGGTTAAACCCAGGATGGATCGTAGGCAGGCCAGCCTAAATGTTTCTAACCGGCGAAGATGTTCCATTAGGGGGGTCCACGTTTCGCAAGCGTAGAGAAGGGAGGGAATGACCGTGGCCGAGAAGACCTGAAGCTTAGTGCGGAGCGACAGACCAGGTAGCTTCCACACAGCGTTACGCAACCGATGAAAAGATATTGCCGCTCGACTGATTCGGAGTGAGACCTCTGCTGTTAAACTGGAGCCAGTCATAAGCACACTGCCCAGGTATGGGAAACTCTCCACTCTCTCCACAACTGCCCCATCACCGATTCGGAGTTGTGGGGGTGGAGTGTCCGATGGTACAAAATACCCAGGCAGGTGCTTAGTTTTGGTGGGGCTGATGGTAAGGCCCCACCTCACACACACAGATACACACACAGATACACACACAGCTACACACACAGACACACACAGATATTCACACACACGCACAGATACACATACACAGATACACAGACAGATACACACACCCACATATACACAGACACACACACAGATACACACACACAGACACACACAGACACCCACACACACAGATACACACAGATACACACACACAGATACACACACACACAGATACACCCACGTATACACACACACACAGATACACACACACACACCCACACACAGACAGATACACACACAGACAGCGCGCTAACCACTACGCTACAATGCGTTAGGCTTCCACGTGTGCGGGTCACGTGACAGATTTGACGTCACAGCTCACTTGCCGTGCAAAAAATAGATGCATTATTGAGTTCCCCCTACCTCGAAAAAAAACACAAAAGTATATTTTAATTGTATTTTAATAATTGTTGCATGGTGTACACTCTGGGAAGTACCCACACGGCAAATTTCAAGTTTGTTGCATGTCGGGAAGTACGCTAAACATTTTGAACAGACACACACAATCACAACTCTGCCTTTTATATATATGGAGATAAGTAATATTAACAAAAAACTTTTTTTTTAAAAACACGCTTTAATTAAATGTTCCGTGCTAGTAATGTAAGAACTCCACGACTCCAGTAAGTGGCCCCGAAGCTTTCCACGCAACGTAAGGGGCAATTACACCCAAGCCGAAACGTGACATAATAAAAAATAATGTTTTAACACGTAGAAGGCTTTCGCGACCAAAATTATTCATAATAAAGTTTTTTTTTGGGTTAGATCGCGTTATTTATAAATGTGTCGTAACCCTCCACCACCCGACACGGCCAATCGGCAAAAATAAAGTGTCACGTTGACAAAAGGCAAAAATAGTTCACTACTTTAGCCCCATACCGGTGGTGTGTTGAAGAGTGAATCCACAACATTCACAGTTTGAGTAGTTCGACGTTTCGCTGGTAATTACATCCAGCATCATCGGGCTGGATGTAATTAATGTTATTACCAGCGAAACGTCATATTCAGACTGTAAATGTTGTGGATTCACTCTTCAACAACACCACCGGTATGGGGCTAAAGTAGTGAACTCATTTGTCTTTTGTCAACGTGACACATTATTTTGCCGATTGGCCGTGTCGGGTGGTGGAGGGTTACGACACATTTATAAATAACGCGATCTAACCCAAAAACCTTTATTATGAATAAAAAATAATGTTAATTTTTTTTATATGATAGAATATCGTATTGTCATCAGTGTGGTTCATCAGTATACCAAGTTTTGCAGTCGCTAGCGCATTGGGAAGTGGGTTACAATTGAGTTACAAGATTAGAGGATACAACAACAACAGACAGTGAGTTAATAGAAAGCGTGTAAAAAGATTGTTGAAACATATTTTTAATGAAAGACTATCGTATTGTCATCAGTGTGTGACATCAGTATACCAAGTTTTGCAGTCGATAGCACATTGGGAAGTGGGTTTCAATCGAGTTACAAGATTTGACGATACATCAACAACAACAGACAGAGTTAATAGAAAGCGTGTATAAAAGATTGTTTAAACTTATATTTTTTATGAATATCGTATTGTCATCAGTGTGACATCAGTATACCAAGTTTTGCAGTCGCTAGCGCATTGGGAAGTGAGTTTCAATCGAGTTACAAGATTAGAGGATACATCAACAACATCAACAACGGACAGAGTTAATAGAAAGCGTGTAAAAAGATTGTTTAAACTTATATGTTTAATGAATATCGTATTGTCATCAGTGTTTCATCAGTATACCAAGTTTTGCAGTCGATGCCACATTGGGAAGTGGGTTACAATTGAGTTACAAGATTTGACGATACAACAACAGAGTGAGTTAATAGAAAGCGTGTAAAAAGATTGTTGAAACTTATATTTTTAATGAATATCGTATTGTCATCAGTGTGTGACATCAGTATACCAAGTTTTGCAGTCGATAGCGCATTGGGAAGTGGGTTTCAATCGAGTTACAAGATTAGAGGATACATCAACAACGGACAGAGTTAATAGAAAGCGTGTAAAGAGATTGTTGAAAAATATTTTATTATTTTTTATGATAGAATATCGTATTGTCATCAGTGTGACATCAGTGTACCAAGTTTTGCAGTCGCTAGCGCATTGAGAAGTGGGTTTCAATTGAGTTACAAGATTAGAGGATACATCAACAGAGTGAGTTAATAGAAAGCGTGTAAAAAGAGTGTTTAAAGATATTTTATTATTTTTTTATGATAGAATGTCCTACTGTCATCAGTGTGACATTAGTATACCAAGTTTTGCAGTCGATACCGCATTGGGAAGTGGGTTTGAATCGAGTTACAAGATTTGACGATACATCAACAACAACATCAACAACAACAACAACAGACGGAGTGAGTGAAATAAAATGTCGACAATCCCAGTGGCTCACTGTCCCTCGTATGTCATCGCAGTCGCCGTGGAAGCGTCCGAGAAGATGCTGGTGCTGCTGTCGGAGGAGCACAAGGAGCACGTGTCTCTCCTGGCACGCCTCCAGACGGAGGGTGAGTGTGACGAGGTGTGTGACGAGGTGTGTGTGTGTGACGAGGTGTGAGAGGAGCACAAGGAGCACGTGTCTCTCCTGGCACGCCTGCAGACAGAGGGTGAGTGTGACGAGGTGTGTGTGTGTGAGGAGGTGTGAGAGGAGCACAAGGAGAACGAGTCTCTCCTGGCACGCCTCCAGACGGAGGGTGAGTGTGACGAGGTGTGTGACGAGGTGTGTGAGAGTGTGACGAGGTGTGAGAGGAGCACAAGGAGCACGTGTCTCTCCTGGCACGCCTCCAGACGGAGGGTGAGTGTGACGAGGTGTGTGACGAGGTGTGTGTGTGTGACGAGGTGTGAGAGGAGCACAAGGAGCACGTGTCTCTCCTGGCACGCCTGCAGACAGAGGGTGAGTGTGACGAGGTGTGTGTGTGTGAGGAGGTGTGAGAGGAGCACAAGGAGAACGAGTCTCTCCTGGCACGCCTCCAGACGGAGGGTGAGTGTGACGAGGTGTGTGACGAGGTGTGTGAGAGTGTGACGAGGTGTGTGTGTGACGAGGTGTGTGACGAGGTGTGTGTGTGACGAGGTGTGAGAGGAGCACAAGGAGCACGTGTCTCTCCTGGCACGCCTCCAGACAGAGGGTGAGTGACGAGGTGTGTGACGAGGTGTTAGAGAGTGTGACGAGGTGTGTGTGTGACGAGGTGTGTGACGAGGTGTGTGTGTGACGAGGTGTGAGAGGAGCACAAGGAGCACGTGTCTCTCCTGGCACGCCTCCAGACGGAGGGTGAGTGTGACGAGGTGTGTGACGAGGTGTGTGTGACGAGGTGTGAGAGAGTGTGACGAGGTGTGAGAGGAGCACAAGGAGCACGTGTCTCTCCTGGCACGCCTCCAGACAGAGGGTGAGTGTGACGAGGTGTGTGTGACGAGGTGTGACGAGGTGTGAGAGAGTGTGACCAGGTGTGAGAGACGGTGACGAGGTGTGTGTGACGAGGTGTGAGAGGAGCACAAGGAGACTGTGTCTCTCCTGGCACGCCTGCAGACAGAGGGTGAGTGTGACGAGGTGTGTGACGAGGTGTGTGAGAGTGTGACGAGGTGTGAGAGGAGCACAAGGAGCACGTGTCTCTCCTGGCACGCCTCCAGACGGAGGGTGAGTGTGACGAGGTGTGTGACGAGGTGTGTGTGTGTGACGAGGTGTGTGAGGAGCACAAGGAGCACGTGTCTCTCCTGGCACGCCTCCAGACAGAGGGTGAGTGTGACGAGGTGTGTGACGAGGTGTTAGAGAGTGTGACGAGGTGTGTGTGTGACGAGGTGTGTGACGAGGTGTGTGTGTGTGACGAGGTGTGAGAGGAGCACAAGGAGCACGTGTCTCTCCTGGCACGCCTGCAGACAGAGGGTGAGTGTGACGAGGTGTGTGTGTGTGAGGAGGTGTGAGAGGAGCACAAGGAGAACGAGTCTCTCCTGGCACGCCTCCAGACGGAGGGTGAGTGTGACGAGGTGTGTGACGAGGTGTGTGAGAGTGTGACGAGGTGTGTGTGTGACGAGGTGTGTGACGAGGTGTGTGTGTGACGAGGTGTGAGAGGAGCACAAGGAGCACGTGTCTCTCCTGGCACGCCTCCAGACAGAGGGTGAGTGACGAGGTGTGTGACGAGGTGTTAGAGAGTGTGACGAGGTGTGTGTGTGACGAGGTGTGTGACGAGGTGTGTGTGTGTGACGAGGTGTGAGAGGAGCACAAGGAGCACGTGTCTCTCCTGGCACGCCTCCAGACGGAGGGTGAGTGTGACGAGGTGTGTGACGAGGTGTGTGTGACGAGGTGTGAGAGAGTGTGACGAGGTGTGAGAGGAGCACAAGGAGCACGTGTCTCTCCTGGCACGCCTCCAGACAGAGGGTGAGTGTGACGAGGTGTGTGTGTGACGAGGTGTTAGAGAGTGTGACGAGGTGTGTGTGTGACGAGGTGTGTGACGAGGTGTGTGTGTGACGAGGTGTGAGAGGGGCACAAGGAGCACGTGTCTCTCCTGGCACGCCTCCAGACGGAGGGTGAGTGTGACGAGGTGTGTGACGAGGTGTGACGAAGTGTGAGAGAGTGTGACGAGGTGTGTGTGTGTGACGAGGTGTGTGTGACGAGGTGTGTGAGGAGCACAAGGAGAACGTGTCTCTCCTGGCACGCCTCCAGACAGAGGGTGAGTGTTGTGTGTGTGTGACGAGGTGTGTGACGAGGTGTGTGACGAGGTGTGTGACGAGGTGTGAGAGACTGTGACGAGGTGTGAGTGACGAGGTGTGTGTGACGAGGTGTGTGAGGAGCACGTGTCTCTCCTGGCACGCCTGCAGACAGAGGGTGAGTGTGACGAGGTGTGTGACGAGGTGTGTGTGACGAGGTGTGAGAGGAGCACAAGGAGAACGTGTCTCTCCTGGCACGCCTCCAGACGGAGGGTGAGTGTGACGAGGTGTGTGACGAGGTGTGTGTGACGAGGTGTGTGACGAGGTGTGTGTGTGTGACGAGTTGTGTGAGGAGCACAAGGAGAACGAGTCTCTCCTGGCACGCCTCCAGACGGAGGGTGAGTGTGACGAGGTGTGTGACGAGGTGTGTGAGAGTGTGACGAGGTGTGTGTGTGACGAGGTGTGTGACGAGGTGTGTGAGAGTGTGACGAGGTGTGAGAGGAGCACAAGGAGCACGTGTCTCTCCTGGCACGCCTGCAGACGGAGGGTGAGTGTGACGAGGTGTGTGACGAGGTGTGACGAGGTGTGTGAGAGTGTGACGAGGTGTGTGTGTGACGAGGTGTGTGACGAGGTGTGTGAGAGTGTGACGAGGTGTGAGAGGAGCACAAGGAGCACGTGTCTCTCCTGGCACGCCTCCAGACGGAGGGTGAGTGTGACGAGGTGTGTGACGAGGTGTGTGTGACGAGGTGTGTGACGAGGTGTGTGTGTGTGACGAGTTGTGTGAGGAGCACAAGGAGAACGAGTCTCTCCTGGCACGCCTCCAGACGGAGGGTGAGTGTGACGAGGTGTGTGACGAGGTGTGTGAGAGTGTGACGAGGTGTGTGTGTGACGAGGTGTGTGACGAGGTGTGTGAGAGTGTGACGAGGTGTGAGAGGAGCACAAGGAGCACGTGTCTCTCCTGGCACGCCTGCAGACGGAGGGTGAGTGTGACGAGGTGTGTGACGAGGTGTGACGAGGTGTGTGAGAGTGTGACGAGGTGTGTGTGTGACGAGGTGTGTGACGAGGTGTGTGAGAGTGTGACGAGGTGTGAGAGGAGCACAAGGAGCACGTGTCTCTCCTGGCACGCCTCCAGACGGAGGGTGAGTGTGACGAGGTGTGAGTGACGAGGTGTTAGAGAGTGTGACGAGGTGTGTGTGTGTGAGGAGGTGTGAGAGGAGCACGAGGAGCACGTGTCTCTCCTGGCACGCCTCCAGACAGAGGGTGAGTGACGAGGTGTGTGACGAGGTGTGTGTGACGAGGTGTGAGAGAGTGTGACGAGGTGTGAGAGGAGCACAAGGAGCACGTGTCTCTCCTGGCACGCCTGCAGACAGAGGGTGAGTGTGACGAGGTGTGTGACGAGGTGTTAGAGAGTGTGACGAGGTGTGTGACGAGGTGTGTGTGTGACGAGGTGTGAGAGGAGCACAAGGAGCACGTGTCTCTCCTGGCACGCCTGCAGACAGAGGGTGAGTGTGACGAGGTGTGTGTGTGACGAGGTGTGAGAGAGTGTGACGAGGTGTGTGACGTGGGAGAGACGGTGACGAGGTGTGTGTGACGAGGTGTGAGAGGAGCACAAGGAGAACGTGTCTCTCCTGGCACGCCTCCAGACAGAGGGTGAGTGTGATGAGGTGTGGGAGGGTGTGACGAGGTGTGTGTGTGTGTGACGAGGTGTGAGAGAGTGTGACGAGGTGTGTGTGTGTGAGGAGGTGTGAGAGGAGCACAAGGAGCACGTGTCTCTCCTGGCACGCCTGCAGACGGAGGGTGAGTGTGACGAGGTGTGAGTGACGAGGTGTGAGAGGGTGTGACGAGGTGTGAGAGAGTGTGACGAGGTGTTAGAGTGTAACGAGGTGTTCGAGCGTGTGACGAGGTGTTAGAGGGTGTGACGAGGTGTGAGAGGGTGTGACGAGGTGTGAGAGGGTGTAACGAAGTGTTAGAGGGTGTGACGAGGTGTGAGAGAGTGGCGACGAGGTGTGAGAGAGTGTGACGAGGTGTGTGTGACGAGGTGTAAGAGAGTGGGACGAGGTGTTAGAGGGTGTGACGAGGTGTGAGAGGGTGTGACGAGGTGTGAGAGAGTGTGACGAGGTGTGAGAGGGTGTGACGAGGTGTGAGAGAGTGTGACGAGGTGTGAGAGAGTGTGACGAGGTGTGTGTGACGAGGTGTGAGAGAGTGTGACGAGGTGTTAGAGGGTGTGACGAGGTGTGAGAGGGTGTGACGAGGTGTGAGAGAGTGTGACGAGGTGTGAGAGGGTGTGACGAGGTGTGAGAGAGTGTGACGAGGTGTGAGAGAGTGTGACGAGGTGTGTGTGACGAGGTGTGAGAGAGTGTGACGAGGTGTTAGAGGGTGTGACGAGGTGTGAGAGGGTGTGACGAGGTGTGAGAGAGTGTGACGAGGTGTGAGAGGGTGTGACGAGGTGTGAGAGTGTGACGAGGTGTGAGAGAGTGTGACGAGGTGTGAGAGGTGTGACGAGGTGTGAGAGAGTGTGACAAGGTGTTAGAGGGTGTGACGAGGTGTGAGAGGGTGTGACGAGGTGCGAGAGGTGTGACGAGGTGTGAGAGAGTGTGACAAGGTGTTAGAGGGTGTGACGAGGTGTGAGAGGGTGTGACGAGGTGTGAGAGAGTGTGACGAGGTGTTAGAGAGTGTGACGAGGTGTGAGAGAGTGTGACGAGGTGTGGGAGAGTGTGACGAGGTGTGAGAGAGAGTGACGAGGTGTGAGAGAGTGTGACGAGGTGTGAGAGGGTGTGACGAGGTGAGTGTGACGAGGTGTGAGAGAGTGTGACGAGGTGTGAGAGAGTGTGACGAGGAGTGAGAGAGTGTGACGAGGTGTGTGAGAGTG